TAACACGTTTGAATAAATGTATACAGCTCCAATTCCATGTATTAAACTCATATGTAGCTAGTAGAGTATGGAAGCAATTATGTTGCTGATTTAACAAAGGATGCATAGAATACTTTACTGTTGTCTTTATATTTCACTTTACGGTACATATGTTAAAGCGCTTTAAGATGTCTCAAAGATGTGATAGGGCGCTGTATCAAATGCAAAGATTATTATTATTACTGAAAGAACAGCACATTTCTACAGCAACTACAAACAAATCATATTCTGATAGAAACTACCAGCTGCAGTGGATACTTTCACCAGTGCTGCATACAAATCTTGTTACAATTAAATGAACCAATGCAGATATAATTAAGGCTGTAATAGAAAATGTACATTTGAACCCTGGTTAAATCAGTAACAATACTCTACTTGCTAAATATGAGCTTAATACATGGAATTGCAGCTGTACAATTACTCAACAACACTCATATATTGGGAATCCTTGGAACAAGTAATGAATTTCTCAAATCCTTAACCTCAGCTGGTGGTCTCACAAAATGCCATTGATTGCCTGAAATTACAATGTTGGACAAAACATCTATTGTCCAGAATTTCCTGCTTTGCATAATTGTCCCCCTCGAAGGCAGTTGTATCCCACATGCTAGCAAATAAAGAGCCCTGCTGAGGTGATGTCCTTGCTGCCATATCCAATTTCTACATATGCAATGTGGTGCTTACTTTAAAGTACACTTGGTGCACATATTTTTCTTGATTACTGACAGACTAAATAAATACCATACTATATAAAGATTTGTTTGCCAATCCATATAATAATGCAGAACGTTGCAAAGGTATCTTTCTCTGGTCACTGATTATGATAACATTTTTTATTCAATATCGGCAAAGTTGGTATTGATAGAACAGGAAAACCTAAACTTAATTAAAATTAATTTGAACTGTCCAATTTTATAGTGCATCAATGTATATTATCAATATAATTCAAGTCAGAAGATAATCGAGAGTACTGAGATTTGTATTGGCTAAAACAATATTGTGTGTTCTGTGAAAAGTTTTTTTTTACATTACAACAATGCTAAGTCTTTCCATGTTAGGTATAGGCCAATGAGATGGTTTCAGTTCTGCTGTTTCTAATGTCCCATATACTCTGAATCATTTCTCAGCGATTTTCAACAGTTCTCCCAAGTATTCGGTTTAAATAGGGTATGAGTTAACATAACATGTACTTGTATCAATGTAGTTCAGAGAAAACTTGATGCATGCATGAGGGAGAAGGGAATAGAGGAGTATAGGTGAGGGGACAAGAATGGTGGGGGATCATATGGAGTATAAATACCAGTGAGGATTAGTTGGGGTGAATGGCCTGCCTCCGTGCCGTGCTACTCTATGTAACTTGAAATATCTCAAAGTGTTTCACAGGATTTCTTGTAAATTATCGTGACTATACACTTTGTTGGCAAACTTTATGCCTACTTTATAGCACATGGTTCTACTATTGAGAATAATATCGCTTTTCGCCAAGCAACATATACCCACCATAAAACACGTACACATAGTGATCCAGGGTCTGTGAGCCCCTCACCCCATTCACACCTGGTTCCAGTCTTCCCATCCCTCAGTAGATCAAGTTCAAAATCCTCATTCTCATCGTAAAAAACATCCACAGTCTCACCCCATCTTACCTCTTTCAACCACACTGAACTGGCCGCTCAGCGAACACTCCCATTTTAAAACACTTCTTTATCTGCATTTTCTATCATCTTTATTCTCCCTATCTCCCTCAGTTTCCATGCCTATCAGGTGTCCATCCAGCATTGTCAAAAATTTTGAAGATGTCTTCCCAATGTGAAAAGCACTATATAATAATAATCTTGCTTTTGATACAACACTTTTCACGTTTTCTAGACGTCTCAAAGCACTTCACAGAATATACTGTAAAGCAATTGACTGTATATTTGTGGGCGAAACATAGCAGCCAATTGTGCACAGCAGTGTCCCACAAATAGTCGTGGATTGAGTGACCAAATAATTGGGTTTTTTTTGAGGGATTATTATCCCTGGAAAAGCAATCTGCCAATCGACTAACAACCAGGTTCCTACTTACTGCTAGGTAAACAGGCATATGGAGTAAGGAAACTTGCCCAACATTTTGCCTCGCCGGGAATTGAACCCAGGACTCTCACTTGCGAGGTGAGTGCTGTAACTACTGAGCTACAGGACTCGACAAGGTCCTGTAGCAGAAAGTATAAAGGTCCATTTATTGTAAAAATGTGCTGTATTTTGGTGCAGCGCTGTGGCGTACATGAGTTAGCCTGGAAAGTTCTCTTCTGTATTACAACAAATTACATTTGTAAAGCACCTTTCACGGATCTGCCGTTGCCTGGTTCGATTCCTATTTCTCTCACTGTCTCCACTTTATTGCCTCTAATGGTTTCTCCTCCAGTCCCCACACTGTCACGTCTGGAGTCCCCCGGGGCTGTGTCCTTGGCCCTCTCGTCTTTAATATCTACATGCTCCCCCTTAGTGACATTATCCGCAGACATGGGGTCAACTTCCACATGTATGCAGATGACACCCAACTCTATCTTTCTGCCTCCACCCTCAACTCCAGGACCACTGTTGTCCTGACAGACTGCCTGTCGGACATCAAGTCCTAGATGAGGGCAAATTTCCCACAGTTGAATGTGAACAAGACTGAGACCCTCCTGATTGGCTCGAGCCAGCGCCTCAGGCTCTGGGAGCATCAACCTTCATGGTTGCAACTACAACTCACCAAGCCAGTCAGGAACCTAGGTGTCTTGTTCGACCCTCAACTGTCCTTTCTCCCCCACATTCAAGCCATGACCCGCTCTGCCTTCCCTCACCTCCGTAACATCGCCCGACTCTGCCACTATCTCACCCCTCAGGCGCTGAAACTCTTGTTCATGCCTTCATCACATCCAGGCTCGACTATGCAAACGTCCTGCTTGTCGGCCTTCCCAACTCCTCCCTCCACAGGCTGCAGATAATCCAGAACTCTGCAGCCCATGTCCTCTACCGCACCAAACTCTGTGACCCCATCTCCCCCACTCTCGCCCGACTCCATTGGCTCCCTATCCTTCAGAGGATCTGGTTCAAGATCCTGGTCCTCACATACAAAGCCCTTCAGTCTCGCCACACCCTACCTCTGTGACCTCCTAACCCTCTACCAACCCACCTGTTCCCTCCGCTTAGCTGGCTCTGGCCTGCTCCACGTCCCCCGCTCCACCCGCCTTCAGCCACTCTGCCCCAAGCTCTGGAATTCCATCCCTCAGTCACTCCGCCTCGCCCCCTCCTTAGCCTCCTTCAAATCCCACCTAAGACCCTCCTCTTCGACCATGCCATTGGCCTCCCCCCTTCCCCTCCTCTCCCTTCTCCCCCCCTGACCCCAGCTCGGGACTGAAATGCTGTACTCTGTCCAGCGCCTTGGGACGTCCTCCCGACATGAAAGGCGTTATACAAATGTAATCTTGTTGTTGTTGTTGTTCACGTCGGGAAGACATCCCATGGCGCTGCATAGTCAGGGATTTGGACCTGAGCAGGGAGTTGGGACCAGGGGAGTTGGAGTTCAGTTGTGTACCCCTCTATGCTTTTTCCTTTCAAGGTTTTCATATAAAACATCATATAACTGAAATCTTTATTACTACATCACAAATCTTTTAGCATTAAGCTTGGTCCTAGGTCTAAATAATTTTTAATACGTACACATCCCACTGATCAGTATTATTTAACCTTTATAGAATTTTTCACAATTACAAAGAAAACACAAACGCACTCCAAAATTAACAAGTACTATATTTTATATTAAAAAATTTAAGTTTTTGTCTTTTTGGAGCTGTCATTCTTTAGTCCTTTAGATCATGGACTTCTTCATGAACATCATCAAAAGTTATTTGTAATTAACTATTAAAAGGAGTGCTGTCAGCAAACCAGATCTCACTTTCTTCTCTTCAAATGTCCACTGATAGGCTCCCTTTAAGAAGCCTAAAAAAGAGCTAACAAAACATGTGCTCAGTAGTGTCAGGTGGACCGAAGTGATAAGTAACAAAATCAATATAATTATTAGCTATTCTCCAATCTGTTATAATAGGTTACCATAAAGTATAATTACAATGTTAATATACATCAACTATATCTAGTTAACAAACAAAAAGGTAAACTTTTAATGTCATAAATGCATTCATATTTAACACAACAAACATTCATTTTTGCATTACTCAACATAAACCAGCAAAATGGATGGCTCTGAGTTAAATAATTTCATCTCAAATATGGATGCAGTTGTTTGGGCTTGCTTCTTTTTGACAAGCCAATCCTTATGGGACCAGTACATGTTTTAAGCGGTTCAATTTTCATCAATCCACGTGATACATAAGGTCCTAAACATAAAATAGAAAGGTCAAAAGTTTTTGAGGAAAGAAATGTGTTAAAAGACTTTGTACAATATGTACCAAGCCTCAGTTACGAAATACGTTGTATAAACCATAGTGACTGGAACATTTCAAAAGTTTACAACTAATTAGCAAAACAAAAATAAACCTAACAGTCATTTTGTGCAACAGTTTGAGTATAATAGTAGTTAGAATTTTAGATTATTATTGCCATGAAACTAGTTTACATTGTTAATGATGTAAAAACCACAACATTTATGTCAATAATTTCAATAAAAATATTCTTTCTTATAAGCAATGGAGAAATACAGTAGCTTTTTAAATTTTCATAACACATTCAGATAGCACTATAGAATTTTCATAGCAGTTCAAAAACATGCCAAAGGGTTAGTGAAAATATTTGTTAATATTGTTTCAGCAGGGTATAGTTTTTCCCCGAAAAATAATAAAGTAGCACTTCTGAAATAATGTAAAATGTTAAATTCTTTATCAAATTATACAAGGAGTTGAATTATATAGGTTACCTGCTTTACTGGGCACACCATCAACTACAGTCTTTTCATAATTTGTCTGGTAGTCGAATACTGTTGACCATGTTTTAACTTCTCGAGACTCATGTTTCTTATATTCTGCTAAATTACAAATCATGTTTAGACACAAATATATATGTAAAAAATGTTTTAATGTATTGATGTACAAACACTAAAATCTATTCAAATTAATTGCATGCTGCCGCAATAAAACTTTATTGGTGTGGACTTAGATAAGAAATCAAGCCAATGTTGAAGGAACTCTGCTCTCAACATAATCTATTTTAGTGCTGGATCAAGTCCACCAATTAATATGTCAATAACTGTAACTAGAAACCTAATAAGACGGCCGAATTAAGCCTGGCAAAAATCTCATGGGTAAATAGAAGAACTGTGAATACCCTTTCGGATATCCTCCTGACATGGAAAGTGCTATACAAATATAATTGTATTGTATTGTACTGTAAGAAAGCTACAAAAAGTCTAAATCTGTAGATATTCATCATTGGAACAGATGATCAACTGCTTCCAATTGTAGTTAACAACTCATGAACATGACTTGAGAAAAGGCTCAGGAAACTAAGTTCTGGACTGGCTCAGTGGGATGGAGTGTGTATCCCTGGATGGTGGTGCTGCCAGTGCCAGTGCTGCCTGTGGAGGCGCTGATGGGAGCCAATCAGGAGGGTCTTGCTCTTGTTGACGTTCAATTGTAGGAATTTATCTCTGAAACATGATTTGATATCTGACAGAGATTCTGTCAGGTCAGCGGTGGTCCTGCAGTCAAGAGTGGAGGCACAGAGATAGAGTTGGGTGTCATCCGCATACATGTGGAAATTGACCCCATGTCTGTGGATGATGTCACCAAAAGGGAGTATGTACAAGTTGAAGAGGAGAGGGCCAAGGACAGAGACCTGAGGAATGACGCACAAGACTGTGCAGGGGCTGGAGGAGAAGCCATTTGTGGAGACAAAGTGGAAGACGGTGTGAGAGGTAGGATCTAAACCAATCAAGAGAGGCAGTGGAGGAGGGTGGAGTGGTCAACGGTATCAAAAGCAGCAGAGAGGTCAAGGAGACAGAGGGACTCCTGGTCACAAATGGAGAAAATGTCATTTGTCACTTTGACCAAGGCTGTTTCTGTGCTGTGGGAAGTACGGAAACCTGATTGTAGAGTTTCGTATAAGGAGTGGCCAGAGAGGAAGGAGTGAAGCTGCGAAGCAATGACTCGTTCAAGGACACTGGAAAAGAAGGGGGTGGGATGGATGGGTGGTGGGTCTCATGTGGGTTATAATGGTGGTGAGAAAGGAGTAGACAGATTTAAAATTATGGAGGGAGGCATGGGTAGGGGCTAGAATGCGAGGGGGATCCCCGAGACTTCAGACCAGCTGCTACCTGTTGGCTCCTGCTGACCTTACTCCCGGAGGCTTCGCTGCCGCATTCATATCTCGTACAGACCCCGTTCCCGCGCTAACCTCGTTAATCCCGCACTGGAACAACTTGTTCTGTTTGCCCCCACTGCTCCTCGTTACCTCTTGCCTGCTGGCCTCGAATTAGCTCCTGTGAGCATTCTCGCCGGTCTTGCTCCTCTTCTCCGTTGCTTCCCGGTTCCCATAGCACTCGCCTGCTCATGTCTGTGCACTTGCCCTCTAGCGTCTCGAGCAGGCGAGTGGACAGACGCGAGCAGCCAATGCCATCTTCAGCTCTCTTGGAGAACAGTGACACACAACCATGATGGAGGGCTGCTGAACCTAGCGGATGCCCATTCTTTCATGCTCACATTGGGCGTTTTGAAGAGATGATTTCCACTAGTGGTGTACAGGGAGTGGCACAGGTACAACTGGTCACATTTGTGATAATCAGCAAGGCATTATAATTTATGTGCATTTATAACTTGCATTCACCTAAATTCATCCCTTAGCTACTTTATTTTCCTTCAATAAAATCAAAACTAAAAGCATACCAGGAAAATAATTTAAATACAACTGAAGAGGAAAAGATGGTAACCAATATTTCCTTTTCTAATCCCAATTCCATGATCGTTCCATACACTTAACATAAATAACAATTCTCAAAAAAAATGTACTTTCCCTTCACAGATGATATTTTAATATCTATAGAAACATACTCACCTGAGACTTTAGATGGAGAATACAACGAATCTTCCCTTTCTGCTTCTGATACTTCTACTTCCATTGGTACCTCTTGCTCTCCTCTCACATCCAAATCTCTCTTCACTAAAACTGAAGGTGTATATTCTAAAGTATTTTGCTCTATTAAGTGGCGATCATGGTCACTTGGAGTTACAACAACTTTTCCATGTGAAGGAAACAAGTGTTGTGAATCATAACGCTCTGGAACCACACCTAAGTAATGTCCTTCATCATGTTTACTCTGCAGCTCGTGCGGGTCTTTCATGTTAGAAGTTTCAGCTGCAGTTTCTTCAGTCATACTGACAGGCCATTCTGACTGCTTGCTAATTTCATGAAACAGGCGTAGCTCCTCTAACACTGCATTAAACTGCTCCTTCATTACAAAATATGGATTCTTGTTCGCAGGTGCAAATTGTTCTTCTTTGGATTGCCTCGGATCAACAGTAAACATATTTGTTCCAGTAGCAGAATCAATTTGTTTAAACAATTCTTTTGATCCTTCTGGAATTGTGCCACCAGGTTTATGTATTTGGTGACCAGAATCAAATGTCATTAAACTTGCAGATGTTTTATCCTCACTGAATTCCTTTGAAAATGTTTCATACACATTTTTTAATTGAAAATGTAAAGGTTTTTGAGCGTCTTGTGTAATGCAAACAACTTCCTTACATTCTAATTGAAATGGAGTACAGGATAGTTCCAAAGATTTCCTATCTTCTTTCAGGATCTGACTATTTTTTGCTAAATCACTTTCAACAGTATCATCACTTATAAGGAGTGTTTTATATTGAGTATTCTGAACGCTTGGGTCTATAGATGTGTTTATTGTTGAAATGCACTTTTCATTTGATTTTTGTTTCTTGTTTTTTTGGGCCATTTGAACAGATAAATTATCTGTACAGGAACGATTAGATTGGTCGGTTTGCATTAATACCTCCTTAGGCGTGCCATGTGTCAAGTTGTTTTGAAAAGTAGTAACTATATCATAGGATAACTCCTTTCTTTTCTTCTCATTCCCATATAGATTGGATTCATTGCATATTTGTTCATGGTCCACACTGTGTTGTAATTGATCTGCCTTCCTGATATCTTTAGGGATTAAAGATTGAATGGTTTGAATGCAACGCAGATTATTTTCTTCCTTGGGTCTGTCTTGCAGTCCTCTTAGAAAATCAGAACACATTTTCTCTTTGTGACTAGTAATTGCACTATAGGTTTCCTTATCTGCTTTATTCTTGGTGTTGTGACCATATTCTACTGATTCAGTTTCAAGGTTTGATATATGAGGAATCGATGATATGAAAGCCAAGCAAGCTGAATTTGATTTTCCATCATCATTATCATAAATGATTTGTGAATTGCTACTCTTTTTTTTATAATGTATTGCTGTGTTGCTAGAATTCAGCTCTCGAATAAGTGTAACTGTATCTAGTTCTTCAGTGTCAGGATACAAGGTAAATTTTTCAAAATTGTCAAAAGCAGATCCTTTAGATGAAAGCGCTATAGAGATCTTGTGGGCTTTCATTTCTGGCCGGCTGCTTTCTTTTTCTTTCATGAAAATGACGAATGTCTTATCGGCTTTAATTTCTGATACAATATTTGAAGTCTCATCTTTTGTATTGGGGGCAGTACTAAAATTAACAGCAGCTGTTTCATTATCACTACATCCTTCCAGATCTTCTTTCATTTCGCTGTTCTGTGAAGTATTTATCATGTTATTCAACGCTGAACAATCTTTCAGGTCATTACAAATATTGGAACATTCCATTGTTTTACCAGAACATTTAGTCTGAGACGCGTAGCTATTGCCAGCCTCAAATTGATGTTCACCCTTAAATGCATTGACTAAACGGTTATGTACATCATCACTTGTATTTATGAGACAACCAGGACTGTTAACAGTCTTTGGGTCATTTTGTAATGAATTGCTTACTTCATTGTTTTTAATCACTTTACGGATGCCTGATGTTTGGACACTTGAATGTTCTGAAATACATATTCTGTTGTTCTTTTCATTAATACTGTTCTCAGTATTAAATGAGGTAATTAGCATTTTACTACAATGATTTCCATCCAATACTTCACTCTCATGAATGAGTGAAGTATTTTCGGAGCTCCTCAATATAGTTTCTTTCACTAAACTGCTGAAAAAGGAAGACTGTGGCTGTTTATCTGAACAATCGCTCTGAGGCTTGTCCCTATAGTCAATGTGAAAATGTGGGAGTACTTGTGGTACAATGTTTTCAGTGAAAACATCCCTATCTGCATTTTTAATATAATCAGGGCTATTCATGCATTTCTGTTGACACTCTGTTTCCTTTCTCGGGATATCATATATTCCAATCCGTGTATACCTATTCAAAAATGGATCTGATTTTTGACGGCTTCTATTCTCTGAAAAAATATTCCTTGTGTCTTCTGTATTATTCTTAGTACTCTGTATGTCATGAGTAGAGCATTGTTCCTCTATGTCAGTTTGATAACAAAGTGACATAATAGTATTGCACCTCGATGAGTTATTATTTTTTGTCAAACTGCAGCAACTGTGAAATGTTGATTTCCTGTCTGCACATTTGATCCGCATATTATTATCCTGAAACCATGGGCTTGAATGTAACCCCTTGACTCCCACTTGCTGCACTTCATTGTTGGTATCTCCAAGGCAACCAGGACAAGTTACACATTTAAACTTACATCCTCCTTCCTTTTCTGAAAAACATTAACTTCATTTATTGCACGGTCTTTAGTCGCATTACAGATGAATGAGGTTTGGTTGCCAACATTTTCTGAAGCTAAGATTGTGATCTGTTTTTCAGTATTGTTTTCAGCATTAAGTGTTGTGCTTTCTAATTTACTAAAATGTTGTTCAACCAATACTTCATTCTCATGACTGTGGAGTGGGGACTTGTTTATAGGACAACTTAACACTACTGTTTCCATTTTTGAACTGTTGAAAAAGGAAGATTGTGCTGGTTTATCTATACCATCAACCCAATGCCCAGATCTGTTGTCTGTATCAAAGTGAGGGATTACTTCTGATATGCTTACTTCTGGGTGAATATCACTATCTGCTTCCGTAATACAATAAGGCCCATTCGTACATTTCTGTTGATACTCTGGTTTTCTTTCAGAAATCTCAGTTCTTGCATTATTCCTCAAAGAGGTAGCTGATTTTTGTCTGTCAGTTTCTGAAACAACAATTCTGTTCCCATCTGTAATGTTCTCAGCACTAAGTACACCAACAGTAGCATAATGTTCATTTTGATGACACGTTATATTAGGAGTGTAGTTCAGTGGGGTATTACCTTCTGAACTAATACAAAAACTGGAAACTTGTGCTGTTTCATCTGTACATTGAATTGCAGATCTTTGCTCATTGTTGCCCTGAACCCACGGTGTTGCGTAGACTATACTGGCTGCTAAATTTTGCCCATCATGGTTGATATAATTGAGGTAACTAGAGCTGGTTACACATTTAAGATGATATTCTGCTTCATTTTCTGAAAAATCACTTACTTTATCCTGAAGCACATTACAGGTGACTGATGTTTGCATGTTCAAATTATCAGAAACGGAAAATGGGATCTCCGTTTCAGTACTGTTCTCTGCCTTAAATACAGTGCAAAACATTTCATTACTTTGTCCACCCAATGCTTCTTTCCCCAAACAGAGTACTGAAACATTTATAGGACTACCCACTGCACTATCAGTCATTGAACTGTAAATAATGGGCAACTGTGCTCTTTTATCTTTACAGTTAGTCTTGGATCTATCGCTATTGTCAGTATCACCGTGAGGGATTACATGGAATCCACTAACTTCTGTGTGAACATCACAGCATGCATCCGTATCACAACTTGGGATGCTCGCACATTTCAGTTGACATTTTGCTTCCTTTTCAGAAATAGTTGCTCCAATCTCTTCAGATCTTCCCAAAGAGGAGTTTAATTTTTGAATGCCTACATTTTCTGAAAGAAATGTGATTTCTTCTCTACTTGGCAAGAACACAGAAATAGAATTGTTTGTGGAATTCAACTCTATGCGATTCTTTGTTGTACTGCTGGAAATGGAAGTCTGTTCTAATTTGGTTGTACTTTCAGTCTGCATTACATATTCATACTGAGGGACTACATTACAATATTTTACAAGGAGAGAATTAGAGCTGGTTATACATTTCTTATCATATTCCTTCTCATTTTCTGAACTGCCGTTCACAGCTCTCTGTGCAATGCACGCATTCAAATTTCCTGATGGTTCACTTAATGAAATTATCTCTGACATTTCTTCAAACGATTCCCCAGAATTGATCAGAACACATCTGGATTGATGCTTTTGAATACTGAAATGTATTGGATGCTGAGAGGTCAAATCTATTATCGGCAATGTTGATAAGGTATCCACTTCTGTATTACTATGGCTGTACAAATGCCGCAGTATGTCACAAGATGACTCATTACTTTTCTCTGGATTATTTTTGTGAGTCACTGTAGTTACATCTGACATTACTCGCTCTGCTTGTTCTATTGCCTTTACTTGAGAATTACCAAAGCTCTCAATCTCATTAGAACTGACACTCTCAATATCCGTAAATCTGCCCTTATCATTTGAAATTTTCATCAGTTCCTGCAGCACTTCTACTTGCTTTGGCTCTGATAATTGCAGTTGAATGGCTGAAGCTGATACTTCTGCTCGCTTGGTACATGCAGATTCATTCTTTTTAGCATCAGAAATCCCCACACACATCAGTTCTGCTGCCTCTGTAACGTTGTCACCACTGTCACACTTGTCGTTTAAAATTCTACACGTTCCAGTAAATGTGTTGACATACTTGTCTGCCATCTGTGCTTCATCATCATCTATACATGCTCCTTTTCTGTTAGTATTTTGGTTTCTATTTGATTCTTCATTTGTGGTGACATCATTATTTCCATAGCAACACACATTGACTATTACAGTCTTTTCATTCCTTCGTATTACTGGAATCTTTTCATTGACAACCCTGGAGCTGTTTTCAGTTGCGGTATGCTCCAAAGATTCAATTGCCATTTTCTGACTGTCCACTTCAGTTTCATTAAAGGAAACACTATCCAGCAAACATGAACTTTGTACAACTTCCTCTGGTTTTGCGTCAACTCCTAAGTCCAAAATCGGTGTTTCAATCTGATCAAATACCCTTGCTGTGTTTTGGATTTCAATCACGTTTGTTTCACGTGGAGCTGCTGAATGATTTAATACTGGGTTTAAATACTCCACAGATATATTTCTATTGTTTGCTGGTGGAATGAAATTCAATTCTGTTTTTTGTCTGTTTTTTGGTTCAGTGTGTTTTTCATAGTCCATTTGTTTGCTATCATCCTGCAGCACACAAGCTTTATCTTCTGTAGATGTAGCATATTTGCCACTTATCACATTTTCCTCGGGTTTAACAGATTCATATGTTAGTACCTTGTCTATCATGTATGTAAGACAAAGAGTTTTGTCACAGATGTTCTCTTTCTGATTGTTCATACATTCAGTAGTGATAGTACTACTTGAAATCACGTTAGCCAAAACATCTTCATTTTTTTTTGTTGTACTATTTCGTATTTTATCGTTCTGAACTTCAGCCTCAAACCCAACCAATAGCATATCAGCTGCATAAGTATCATTCTTAACAACGCCTGGAATTGGTACACCCTCGTTGCTGTTAAATTTGGTTTGTTCAAAGTACTTTTTGGTTGGTAAAGGGAAAATTAAATCTGATGCATCTGAAATGTGATCATTTTTTGATTCCTCACTTCTGACATCTGATGAAGTATTTAAAGAATATAAATCCAATCCATATTCTTTTGCTTTATATCTCTGTCGTTCACTAGCACTGCTGCAAATGTTTTTTGCACCTGTGATTTTCGCTTCTGTTTTTGAATCAATGGAACATTTTTCTAGTTGTGGAGATTGATTTATATGTTTTGCACTAAATAGATCCTGCTCATTTGATTCTTTGTCTGCGTCAGAGGGACCATTGTCAAGTTTGACTTGATTTGAAGCTGGATATTGAATGTCACCCTCAAAAACTGGACTTGTGAAAAATTGTTGCGGAACAGCAATCGTCTTCAACTCAAGGCCTTTCAGTACAAGCTGATTGGCAAAAGGATAAGCTACACCGAAAGCACAGAAAAGAAAATATGTCATTGATAATCTAGTGTTTGAATTAAAACAAACACATATTCCAGATCAGTAAATAAAATGATGTTTCTTTCAAAAATGATTATCCAAACATGTAGAGTATGTTGCAAGGCGATGAGAACACTTTTATATTACATTATAAACTACTGAATAAAAACTACTGATATGTGACTACTTGGGGGATAAGCAACCTTTCACATTAATGGTCTTCAACTCGACACATAACTGTGGTTGAAGGAAAACACATTAACGTATTTTAGAGATAACTTGGTCGACGAAAGTCTTCTCATATAATCTGAAGACGGGCAAAAAGGGGGCAAGGCAGAAGGATTGAGAAGGGAGTTCCTGAGTTTTGGGGGGTAGTGGCTAAAAGCCCAGCCTTTCACAGTGGAGCACCACCAGTTTACTGCTCCTAACTTTACAAGACTATGAGGATAGTATTAGGTTTTAATAGACTTCCACCAATAAAATGCCATTGATTTCCAGAACCAGTCAGCTCTGACTTGTTTCTCCTGGTGTCCTGTCCAACAATCCCCCCAAGTAAAGTTGGTCATTCACTTCATATCTGTTTGTGGGACATTACAACAACAACAACTTGGATTTATATAGCGCCTTCCACGCCGGACAGGTCTCAGAGCGCTTCACAGTAACGGATCCCGGGGCCGAGCCAGGGGGAGGGGGAGGAAGGTGATGAAAAGCGCGGTCAAAGAGAAAGTCGAGA